ATAACTGGGCTTTTTAAATTCATAGGACTCTTTTTCTATCCTTGAATGTTCTCTCAAGGACAGAGTAACATAGTCCTAAAATATTCTCAGTTCAGTCTTCCTCCTTCCATCCAGAACAGCTGCCACCCGGGGACAGGGACTGGCTGGGAGCCTGCTGGGTGTCCCTTCAAATAGAACCATGGGTCCTTGAACTAAGCCCAGGCTGCTGGTAAGAAAGATTAACAGAGCTTACAATCTCCCATGATCAAGATGCTGACCCCGTGGGCGGCGGGGCAGGAGAGCTGTGTCCACGTCAACGCAGTAGAAACTCTGGAAGGGAAGCAGTAAGAAGAGGATCTTCAAGTAGGAAATTTGGGAGTTGGTGGGCCCGTTCCCTAAACTCATAAGTTTCAGTTTAATTTCACCCAGCCCCACATGTCCTAGATTTCACCCAACACCTACACCTTTGAGCACGACCCTCCCTGGATCAAAGGACTGTGGTCACATCTCCAAGGTCCTGATTAGGCTCTGACTGGATTTTAAACTCTTTCTACCACCCATGCTAGTGACTCTCAATCATACTTCTCACTTGTGTGAAAAAGAAATGTGGTGTGGGCAGAAACTCACATGAATAGTGTATTTTAGGTGGGGGGTGGATACAGCTCAGTGGTAGAGTGTGTACTTAGCATGTATGAGGTCCTGGGTTCAATCCCCTGTACTTCCATTAAACAAACAAACAAACAAACCTAATCCTCCCCTCCCCCAAGAAAAACAAAAAAAGAATTAAAAAGTCATAGTTGGACACTCACACAAAATTTTTTTAACAGTCTATTTTAATGCCCTGCAGACATGTCACTATAAACCCATAACTTTCCTTGATTTTCGTTTTACTGATATAAACTGAGCTGATACGCTCAATGCAGATGGGGCGAGACTCAGGTGAAATCTTGCAGCCCTCAGCAAACCATTGTTCATTCCTTCTTCAAGGCAGGGAAAGAAGGTTCAGACTGGGGTAGGTCATCACCACGTGTCGAGCCCTCACACTGCTCAGAAAATGTAGTTCCTGGAGCTACAACCCCTGCCCCCTCCCCATTTATTAGCTGGGTCACCTGGGGTCACTGACTTAACCTCTCTGAGTTTGTTTTCTCATCTCTAAATGGGATCTAATAATACCCTCGGCATCGAGTTCTGTGCAGATTAAATGAAACGATGTAATGGAATAGCTGGCCCAGTGGTGGAGATTATCATCCAGCTGTATCCTGCAGTCTGTTTGCAACTTGAAAATTAAAATCACAAGAGACCAGCAATTTGCTATCGAAAGTTAGTTGATTTTTTTTTAAATAAAAGAATACATAAGGACAATGGGAGCTAAAAATGGAATATACCCTTTCCTGGGAAATCACCTTTCAGGCCGTATTGTCAGGCAGGCAGTGTCTGGACCTGTCCCATGGTCCCGAGGCATCACTGGGCTGCAGAACCAGGCCAGAGGCTGCGAAGTCCAAAGCAGCCCGATGCCCATCCTGATCTCAGGTTAGCTCCGGGGAGGCGCCTGCAGCCCTCCCAACGTCTCACTTCATGTGCCTGCCCCCGATTTCTGTTAGGACTAGCGCTGGGCTCCTGGATCTCGGGCCGTGTGCTAACTTGCAATAAACAGACCAAAGAGGCGGAACTTTGCAGCCAAGCCCAAGTCAAACACCTCTGTGAAAACCTATCCTGAGTTGCCCTGAGGTGTTTCCAAAAGTAAAGCAAACATTAGAACCAAACAGCATGCTGTAACTCTCCGCCCGGGGTGGGGAGCGGGGTGGGGTTACAGACCGGCATGACGAGACTCTGCGGCTGGGGCGGGCTTCAGGCTCAGCACTGCCCAGGGGTCACTCCAAAGACCCTCCAGACTCTCCTTACTGGACCCCTGACTCTGCGAGACTGTCACTCTTCATCGGGAGACAATGGCAGCCGTTGAAGCAACGGGTCACCTAGGGAGCAGTCTCTTTTGGCTTTGCCCCAGCTGGCTCTATGAGCTGTAATAAGTCACTAGTTTATCTTCAGCTCTGCTCACACATCTAGAATCAATATTGATTATCCACGTGTCTAGATCAGTGATTCTCAACTCTGCCATGCTTAAGAATCCCCTGGACTGAGGCCAGGGCTGACATAAAAACAAAATTCCTGGACCCACCCCCTAAAATTCTGAATCAGCTAATCTGGGTCACTTTTAACAAGCAACCCTGCAGGCTCTGAAACAGGGAGACTTAAGGCCTACCTTTAGAAACACTAAACACATACAGTAAAGTGATGAAATTCTAATCCTGATCATGTTGTATTAACATCCCAAACTGACTCAATCCCTCATAAGCAATGCTCTGTGAAAACACAGGCCCCTAAAGCAAAATGGCTGCATTTGTGCAAGTTTTCAGTGAAAACATACTGTGTTCTCAGTTCCCAGATTGTGCCCTGGGGGGTGGGGGCGGGGCTGGCGAACAGATAGGTCATGGTCTCAGCCTTCAAAAAGCCTAAAAATCTGGCTGGGGAGATGGCTTCTTAGTGAAACACCAGCTAACCGGAGAGGCAGGGAGCAATTCATGGACGGAGAGACTTCCAACATGACATCGCTCTCGGGTCCTGGAAACAAAGGCTGTGAGTGTGGCTTAGAGAACTCAGGAAGATGACGGGGAACCCCATTCAGTGGAACGAGCATGAACTGAGACCTACTGTGTGCTGACCCCAGGATCAGGGACAGAAGGGACAGAAGGGACAGAAGCTGCACTATGAGGAGTGGGATGGGCTCTGCTGAAAGGGAGGCGGGGGAGGAGGAGGAGAAGGAGAGGACCCTGACCAGGGCTCAGTGGACTGAGAGCAGAGAAGGGCAGGTCTGGGAGATGGTGTGGCCAGGAGCCACATCAGCAGTAGGATAATACATATTATGGGGTAAGGAGACATGAAAACTCAGGTGCAGGAGTTTAGACTTGATTAAATAGATAAAGGGTGAATGGATTTCTTAGTTGGGGCGTAATGTTAAGAGAAGAGCTTCTTCCGGAACAGAAGACAAAGTGGCGGGATAGACAGTCAGAGACCAGGTGAGCTATGAGGCTGGGAGCTTCCATGGATGAATTCCATGGAATCCCATGGACTGACTTCCATGGATTTCAGTGTCATTGGAGGATGGGGGTGAACTGGGTTGAATAGTGTCCCCTCCTCAAATGCATGTCCTTCCTAGAATCTCAGAATGTGACCTTATTTGGAAACAGGGCCACTGCAGATGTAATTAGTAGAGTTACGATGAGGTCACACTGAAGTAAAGTGGACTCTTGATCCATTATGACTGGCATCCTTATAAGAAGAGGAGGAAAGACACAGAGACAGACACAGAAGGACGACGCAGAGGCAGAGGCTGGAGTGACGTATCTGCAACCCCAGGGATGCCAAGAACTGCAGGCAACCAGCAGAAGATGGAGAGACGCGTGGACAAATTCTCCCTCTGAACCCATAAGAAGGAACCAACCCTGCCCACACCTTGATTTTGGACTTCCAGTCCCTAAATGCTGAGAGAATACATTTCTGTTGTTGTAAGCCAGCCAGTTTGTGGTGATCTGTCAGACAGCCGAAAGAAACGAATATAGGGGGCTTGAGGAAGGAAGGAAGCTGAAGATGGGTCTTTAGGGGGTGAAGAATGATGTCCAGGTGATGGCCAAGAGTCCACTGAGACAGGGCTGGAGCCCCAGGGAGCCCGGCAGTCACCGCATCTCCCTCCATCAGTGTCCACAGAAGACAAGGGGCAGTTTTTGGAGGAGGAGGCGGGTAGAGACAGCAGCTGCCCCGCTCAGCACTCCACGTAGATCTTCTGATTCCCTCTTCTGTGAATTTCCTAAACAATTATCACAGGAGCCCCGTGCTTAGAAAAGGTGTCTGAGCCGCCTCCGGAAATTAAAGGATTTTTCTAGTTACGAAACGTGTACCAAATGATTGTTAAGAGACGGCCTTGTTTTCCCATGTAGGCACAGGGTCGTTTCAAAGAGAAAACACAATGCCCCCATTTTCCTCACTAGATTTTAGTCCTGGACTTCCCCTATAAAATCAGAATTGGAGAAGGCTGCAAGCAGAATGGCCCCATTCACAGGAAAATGCTAAAGGCTGGTTTCCCATGACTTGAAGGGTTCGTTGCCCCTCCCCCCCAACCGGTGTGTGATGTGGCTTAATTCTCTAGGCTTGCCATCCTTGAAATCATCTCTCCCCCTTCCTCAGTGAAATTTCCTAAAAGCAACCACACAAATGCTGCAGGTGTGTGAGATCGGGGCTGCTCACGTACAGAGAGACTGTGCAAAGTAGGGGGAAAAGGGCGCCCCATCCAGGTGGAGGGATTGCAAAAAGAGACCTTTGTCCTGGTGGCTGAATTGCAAAAAGTGCCCCAGCGGAGTGGGCCACGTAGAGGAAAAAGACTCCCAGGACAGGGAGCAAGGCTCAGCCAGCAGAGCCCGGGTGGGATTTCAGCTTCCACGAGGCCCACGTGTGCACAGGGCTGACGCTGCCCAAATGGATGCAGGCAGCTCGGGCCCCGCACAGAACCCAGGTTCCTTTTGTCACCTCTTAATGGAGCCCAAGGACGCTGCTAAGGGCTGCTCCCACCTGTCTGTGGGCTGCAGGGAGCTCCAGCTACTTCCTGCGTGTCTGTCTTTTCCCGAGTGGCTGGGAGGAATGCTTTGCTGTCCGTCTTATCCATTTTCACATTTCCATCACCAACAGAGCTCAGTCACAGCGTATACTCCCAACGTGTCTGTTGAACGTTCGGGCACATATCCAGTTCAAGCCTGGAAACCTCTTTTCCTGCTCAAGCGACCTGCTGCCTACCTGCATTTTTCCCATCCGTTGTTCTACTGGTCTTTAATGGCTAACTCCAGACAAGAGATGTAAAATAAAATCCATGGAGAAGGACTGGTCAACTTGCAATCCTCCAGGACCCGAGAAAAGGCAACATTATTATTAATATTTTGCTTTTTTCCCTCTCTCTCTGCTCACCTTTCTCCCAGCTCACCAAGGCACCCCCTCCCTGTCAACGATGTGGTTCTGTATCACCACCACCCGTGGCTGAGACTAAGACTGAGTGCCACAGAGATCCATCCTTCCACCACTCCCTTCAAACTGCCCTGAAAGCAGCAAAGGAAATTAACCACAGCCTCCACGGCCGCCGCGCCGCTGAAAGACCTTGCACGTCGCTGGCGATAGATCTGGAGCGCAGCTCGTAACTCAGCCCTCGGAGGGTGGGTCATGCAGGTGTCTCGAGGTGGCTGGGACTCCGGTGGGGGCAGTTGAGGTGACAGATATGACCTGAGAGGGGGAACAAAGTCTCAGTTACCCGGCGATGAAATGAGGAGTGATTTCTCTGCCTCGTTCCGGCTTTCCCCGGCTTAGGTCAGGCCTTTACGATGATTTGTGCGAAACCTTTGAAGTTCGGTCATTTCACAGCTCACGCTGGGCCTGCTTGAGTTTGCTGAAAGATAAGAGTTATTGGAGATACGAAAGATCAATTTGAAGGGAAGAGAAAAGAAAACAGCCTTGGGGCCGTTTCCCCTTGGAAAGCAAAGAAAAACCTGTGTTCTCTGCCGGCCCTTTTCCTTCCCTCCCCGGCTTCCTTCGCCATCGGGTGGGAGGGAGCCCGAGTGGACTGGGAGCATTTGCTCCTGGCTCCGATGATGTAAACCAGGGATGCTGGGAGGTGCCCTGTGACCTCCTATGCCCCGAAGTCCCCACGTGGTCTAAATCTGGAGAAATTTGCCCTCAGGGGAGAAGTTTCCCAAGTCTGCTTAGTGGAGGGCCATCCTTCAGGAAACTTGATTTCTAAAAAGCGGTATAGTTTAGCTTCCTAGAACGGCAGTAACAAAGTACCACAAGCCGGGTGATTTAAAACAACTGAAATGGAGTCTCTCACAGTCCTGGAGGCCAGAAGTCCGAAATTAAGTTGTCAGCAGGGCCCTGATCTCTCTGAAGGCTCCAGGAAAGAGTCCTTCCCTGCCTCTTTCAGCTCCTGGTCAACCAGCAACCTTTGGCATCCCTTGGCTGGTGGCGGCATCATTCCATCTCTGCCTCCATCTTCACGTGGTTTCCCTGTGTGGGTCCTCTCTGAGGCTGTGTCTAAGGACACCAGTCGTTGGATTAGGGCCCACCCCTCCGACCTCATTTTACCTTAGTCACCTCTTTAAAGACCCTCTCTCCAAAGACAGCCACTTTCTGAGGTGCTGAGGGTTAGGGCTTCAACACAGGAGTTTGGGGAGGGACACAGTTCAGCCCAAACCACCATCCTTCCACGCCACGTGGGAGGGAGAACTCGGACCCCTTCCACCACTCAGGTGTGTGGGGGTCACAAAGCTTCCTTAGTTCTCTTCCTCGTGAGCCCCTCTTCTGAGTAGCCAAGCGGATTCATCTGTCATGAATATTATCTCCAGCCCTTCTGGCTGAAACAATCACCTTCTATGAAAACAGCTCCATTAGGGAAACATTTCTTGGTAAATGTCAACTCTTATCATTGCCATTCTCTTCCCACCACCCTCAGATCCAAGATGGCAGCCAGCACACAGGGAAGCTCATGGTCCCCGTGGGAGGGCATAGGTCTCCTGGTCTTGTCCCGTCCCTGCACTGGCCCCTTCCTCCAGGAGGCTGTGCTGGTCCTGGTGAGCGTACTGACAGGTATCCACTCAGGGGTGCGCAGGCTGGGTCTGCCTTTTGGGCATCCAGCTGATGTCCCTGCTAGAGACAATGGACTGTGGGCTAGGCTGGGGAGCTCTCACATGTGACCAAGTCACCCTAGAGATCCCCTAGGTCTGGAGGGATGTCCACACCATCTCTGGTCAAGGTGGGCCCCTCACAGCCATTGGCTCCCAGCAGACTTGGCTGCGTGCTGTACCAGCCTGGGGAACATGTGAGGATCCTTGGGTCCCCTGCACGCTGTAAGGAATCCTGGCTCTGGCTCATTCACCCTGCCTTCCTGCAACCACATCGTACTCCCCATGTTGGGAGGGGTCGTCTCCTCCAAGGATTCCAACAGGGAGCAGAAGGAAAGCCCACTTCCTTTGGGCTCCTTCCCAGTACATTAGATTTGGGGCAAACGTATGTGACCACTGGCTTCCCCTTCCTCAGCTCCCTCCTCATCCTCATCCTCATCCAGCTGAGCCAGAAGACTCATGCTTCCCTCGTTCCTCGTGGCAGAAACTCGTACGCCATGTGCTGTGTATTCTGAATGGTAAGACCCGCGGACATCAAATCTCTGGGTCTGGATCTCTAGGTGGTTATAGAAGTTAAAGGAATTTTGAAAATTCTCTCTTGCCATTGCCCGGCTTTCAAGAACACTGTCTTGCTGGAGACATAAAAACCTATATTGGATATCAGAAGCCAAAACCTAGTCCTTTTTGCTACTTCTCCCCCATGCTCCACCCCCAGAAGGGAGCCAGAAGGGCAGCCCTCTCTACTCACAGACCCCCTACTCAGCCAGGACTTTTAGGGTAACCTCGCCTGTCCGTGGGGCTGACCTCCAGCCTCGCTCTGATGCTGTCCCCTTACTCCTTGAGCCCAGGAGGGTCTCTTATCTCTTCTCAGGTGGAAAACAACAAATCGAAACAAACAAAACTGGCTCAACACACATGGCTCTTGGACCTCAGCTCCTAACTTAGGGCCAAGAATTTGACCATATTCTTGGTTCTAAGATGCCCCATCTCTCACAGCCTAAACTGCTCCCGGTCAGGAAGGGGGCTGGATGCGTTTCCTGTGGCTGCCAATCATCACAAACTAGGAGCCTTGAAACAACAGAACTTTGTTGTCCCACAGTTCTAGAGGCCAGAAGTCCCAAATCAAGGTGTCAGCAGGGCCGTGCCCCCTGACGCCTCTGAAGACTGTAGGGGGGCCTCCTTCCCTGCCTCTTCCAGCCTCGGTGGCTCCTGGCGTTCTTCAGCATCCCCCGGCTTGTGGCTGCATCACCCCAGGCTCTCCCTCTGCCTTCACATGGTTTTCTTGTGTGTGTCTCTTCTCTTCCTATAAGGACAGCAGCCATCGGATTTGGGGCCCACCCTAATCCGGTACAACCTCATCTTGACGTAATTATATCTACAAAGACCATTTCCAAATAAGGTCACATTCTGAGGGCCTCGGTGGACATGAGTTTGGGGGGACACTGTCCAGCCCATCACAGGGACTCATGAGTTAATGCTTTCTAATGCCGTTCTGACTCCCATGATAAAGCCCCAAGCACAGAGTGGTGCTCGGAGAGAGACCTCCTTCTCGCCTGTTCTTCCGCAACGCCCCGTGTTTACTTGAAAGCGGTATGTGTTTCATAATCGCCTTACACCGCCCTCCAGAAGTCAGCAGCTCCTGCGAACACTGGCCTGCAGCGCTTGCCCTGGGCTCAGCCACACTCCTTCTGAACCCCCCCTCCCCCCTCCCCTGGTCTTTGATGACCATTTGCTGTTTTGTTTATACCCCTTCTTGTTCCAGGAAGGCTTTTATTACCAGGCTAAATGAACCCAGGAAGATCCTGTAGCAAATGCAGTGTTCTCCACAAACACAACTTTCCATGAAACCGACACGAAAACCCCCCAAAGCACTTGGAAATCAAAAGGATCGTGTTAAGTTTGACGTTGGGCTCCCCTTCTTTAGCTTCGCTGACTCGCTGAAACACAGGCCTTTCCTCACTGTTCTGCTTTTGCGAACTTCGTGTGCCCTGCCTTGTTTTCTGGTCAACCTCTTGATGGAAGAAACCGCTAGCTGAGAAAGGAGATTCTGGATTATTGAGAGCTGCAGATAGCAATCAAAGTGACTTGTTTTAGGACGTGGACCTCAGAAAGGAGATTGTGGTGGGGGGGACCCTAGTTCACCGATGGGAAATGTACCCTGTGGTCCCACGTGGCCCTGGTGAGTTTGCTTGAGTAAAAAAGTCTCAGGAAAGCCATCAACCAGTGTTTAGGACTGAAAATGGTGAAGGACATGCAGCTTCCTAATTCAACATGATGAAAGGGAGGGCTTTCTCTGGCTCCAAGTTATTCCTCTTTTGACCTTATTTACAGAGAATTGGGAATATTTGGCTTTGCTGCTGGCAAAAGTCATTTTAAGAAAAAATGTGAGTCTGTGTGCATGCATGCACATGTGTGCATGTCCACTGTGTGTCCATGGGTGTGCCTATGCACACACATGCATGTGTGTGTAAAGGGGAGAGGGTGGGACAGGAAGCAGAGGGGGAGGGGAGGGTGCAAACAAACGTCCCTCCCAGCGTATGAAACTGAATATTCAGAGGAGTCCTCTCCCTTTGGAAAAGGGCCTGAGAGTATCTGAATGTGTCTCAGGAGCCCCTGACTTTCTCATCCATATGCTGCCCGATTTGTGGCAGCTGAGGTATTTTGAAGGTGTTTCAAGCGAGGACCCAGCAGGTCATCCTGGTCCCTCAGCTGTGAGGGATGTAAACTGGGATCGGGAGAGGAGGAAAGACCTTTCAGAAAGCTGTGCTCGAGACCCACACCTGTTCATTCAGCAAATCTTGACTGAGTGCTGGATCTGCCCTGACCCACTTGCTAGTAGCAACCGGCTTTTCTAACAGCGGGAGGGAGGGTGCGGGACACTGGGCCGGCAGCTTGTGGAGGAGAGAACATAGGGCTTACATCAGAGGCCCGGATCTTTCTGTGACCAGCTGTGAGGACTGGACAAGATGACTGGCAATGATAACAGATGCCCCCCAGAGTTTTCTGTGTGATTAAATAGCAGTTGGTGTAAGCGCACTTAGTAAATTACAAGGCATGAGGGCCCCTGGAGGTGCCACACCTGGCATCAGGCGACTTTCTGTTAAGGAATAGCAATTAGGAGGAGTCCAGGATGGACAAGATCTTTGTCCCAAATGGCAGGTGGATGCTGTGTGCCCGCCGGGTCCTGCAGCCGCGGCTCCACGCTGCCTCCTCCTGTGGTGGGGAGCCTGCCCGCCCCCGGCTGAGCGGCCCGGTCACAGTGCGACCTTCAGGAAGGAAGCGTTTGCTGTAAGAAGGTCACTGATAGTGGCCTTAAAACCTCTGACAGTGGTTCATTCATCCCGCCAGGTAGGCTGGGACCTGGATTTGGCATTTGGCTCTCAGAATTAGCTAGAATAGAGACAGGAGGGAAGCGTTGTGTAGATTAACATCTGAGAACATTTTTTTCCCAATGAAACTCCTTACATGTAAACTAATGGGCTGCTACAAGACCACTGGGTGGGGGACGTAACTCAGAAAGGCTAAAATCAGACCAGTCTGTTCTGTTTTGTGTGTGTGTGTGTGTGTGTGTTATTGTAGTAAGACTCACAACATAAAACTTAACATTTTAACCACTTTTAAGCATGCAATTCAGTAGCACTAAGTCCATCCACGCTGTGTAACCGTCACCACCATCTATCTCCAGAACTTTTTCATCTTCCCCAAATGAAACTCTGTACTCACCAAACACC